GAACTGCCATGTAGAGGCCCTAATTTCGACGGTGGTTGCTTGAATTTTATCTGTTTGAAATTTAGGTAATTCATTGTGAGGGATAGATTTACGGATGATTATTATCGAGCCTCCATGGGCGGTGCCACCCGGGTGGGGAGTACTGTGGGTGATGTACTGCGGTATGTTGAATGTTGTCAGTTCGGTGAAATGGGACTCAGAGATAAGTAGGACATGAATCTTTTTTAAGTTTAAAAATGTTATTACCTCCTGCTTATGATTAAGCAGTCCGTTGGCGTTCCACGTGGCTATTATGAGTATGTTCACGGATTTAACTTTCCTATGACAGTGGTTAATAAGTTTAGAATCATGCTGTTGTAGCTTATTAATTGTGCAAACATGCTTTTAAATTCGTTTAAGAAAGTTGAGAATTAGTTTTCCATATTTTTTTAAGTTTATTACATTATATTATTTATTATACTGCAATTGGGTTTTAGCCCGGTGGCAGTAGTACACAATAGGACACAACAGACAAGTAACACACATTACAATAAGTGACAGCACATTCAAACAAAACACAAAACACAACAACAAGGACATCCTACCACAGTGAATACAAACCAAATACGATTAACAACTACAACAATTACAGAGAAATACAAACAACTGCAAAAAATATGACAACAAGGACATCCTACCACAATGAATACAAACCAAATACGATTAACAACTACAACAATTACAGAAATACAAACAACTGCAACAAATACAACAATTACAGAGAGAAAACAAAAATACAACACCCAAAACACAAACAAAAAGGAAACCAACAGTCATGGATGCGTAATGTCATTTACTTCACTTCACTTCACTTCACTGCAATTTTTTTCTTTTTAATTATTTCCACCCCAACTTCACTTCGCCTCATTTATCACTTTCCTAACCCTTTGCCTAAAATTGCTTGGTTTACAGGACAGAGTACCTAAAGCATCTGCAGGTAGTTGGTTCCAGAGCTGTATGGTCCTATTTACAAAGGAGTATTTCCCGATATCTGTCCGTTGCTTTCTACTCCTAATTTTCTTGCCATGCTCACCCCTGCTCAGATAGCATGGTATTTCTAATCTGTCACCTATAGCCTTCCAAGCCCGTTCTCCCATGTATGCTTTGAAGAGAGCACATATGCGAGCTACCTTACTTTATCTTATCTTACATTACTTTCTGGACAAACCCTGTATTTTTCACTCTCACCAATTTTATAAACCTCCATAGGTACAACAGAAACATGTTTTAAGAGTTGTTATAATGTTAGAAATGTCACATATCTAAAATTAAATTAATGTTGATAGATGTGTTAACAGTGAACCCAGCAAGGAAATTAATGTTGATAGATGTGTTACAGCAAACTCAGCAAGGATACCATGGCTGAATATGTCAGACGGATCTTGTTTCTGAAGGGAATAATTGAGACACATAAATTGGTGAGTCAGCTAGTCAAATATACAACATTTGCATATAGTAGTGCTTTGTGAACTACATGATAACTTAATTTTTGTTGCCCAACTTCAGCTTAATGGTTTGGATTATATATAGATATCTGTTCCAGCTCTATTTAGTATTTGATCAAACTACATTTTTGTTAGTCTTATAACATTTCTGTCTTCAACTGAATTACATTGTCAGGTTTGTTTAGGAATGCAGCAGTCATCCATACTCTGTATTTGTAATGTCTGGTTTTCTCTATATTCATGAATTTTATTACTTTAATTAATATATATATATAATTTATGTTAATTGTTTCGTTACATTGATTTCCAGATTTTCATTTATGTTACTGGAATTGTCTCGTGGTTCCTTTCTGGCACTGCCTGCTTATCACCCCTTATCTGTTAAATTGTTTCTTTTTATGTTCATTTTAGATATTTTCTTTGCAGTTCCTGAGTTTCTTTACACATATGATAATTCATTGTTGTAGTTCATTACATCATGCAGTTTATGTAGATAATCTATAGAAGACCCAAATGATAACTAATAAATGGATCTCTTTTTGCCTAATTTTTATTCAGACCATTTTACTTTTCCTGTGGGTTTTATAGTGTTCCCATATCATCACATCTGATGGTACCTTCAACTGTTGGAATTATGAATGATGTTCGGACTTCCCTTTCATGGTTTTGTTTCAGTAAACTACTGATATCACTGACTGCTGATGTAGGCAATATGACCTATTATACTAACATTTTGGTAGACGGACCTGAAGGTTTAGCACCTACTAATATCAGAACCCACTACTGAACACAATTCTGAGCCAGTTCAGTCTGTTTTGCCAAGATCTGTCTTAATATTATTTTACTTCCCCTTTCTTGGTCTTCCATGCAGCTGTTTGTCAAGATGTTTATGTACAAATATTATGTATTTATTTCTTATGTTCCCTGTATGGCATAGGAATATTGGCGTAAGTCACTCAGCCACTTCTCTACAAAATTACATCCGTATACATATTGTGGCATGATCGCTGAAAACCAGAATAATGGAACAAGAAGGAGTGACCATTGCTAGGCAACAGCGCTACAAGTATAAGTCGGCAGCAACGAATCAACACATAACAAAAGAGGAACTGTTGGAAGTAGCACTTTCTATGGCCAAGGCTATGATGATGGTCAGCATCAGTCGACTCCCAGATTCATGAGACAGTGATACACAGTCGTGAGTCCCATGGGACTGGGAACTAAGAATGACTGTGCTGGTGCACCCTAGTGACACAGTTGAGTGAGCTGTGAGCTATAAGTGAGCAGTGGCAGTTCTTAGTAGACCATGAGGAATCTCCATTGTTAGCAGCCATTATGTAATAACTAGTGATAACAGAATAACAAACAGAAGATTATGTGTGCTGCAGTTGTAGTGAGTTATAATGTGTGTAAATCACTGGGACTATTATAATTGTTTGTAGTTACAAGTTATAAACGTTTAATAAATCAAATTATCAATCAAAACCCTGTGTTTAGTCACTATCATGTGACAGTATTATACAAGATGATAACTGAAAATATACTATTTGTGCCTCATGATTTAAACCCATCATCCCATTCCAATTCTTCAGTTTAACTCCCTCTTTAGTATTCAGCGGTCTAACCCTATTTCTCTTCATGCCTCAATTAGTCTGGTTCACTTGGAAGGCAAGGGCCAGCCATAGAATATGGAGCCCCATGGTTATCACTTCATAGCACATTTTGAGTTGTCGTATAAGTCTTCAGTACCACTTGAACACCCAAACTCTGGCATCCTTTACTCAGACAGCCTCCAGCTGAAAACCTTCCAGTATTCTCCTACAATCAGTCCTGTGGTTATATTTGAGCATCATTTTACTCCATTGTACTGCTTGAGTAGCAGCAACCCCTTTAACTCTTATCTTACATCATTCATGGAACCATACACAGGCACTTTGTCTCCTTCAGTCCTTCCATGTTACAGTCAGCTATTTGTATTAATTTCCTATTTTATGGCTATGAAATCCAGATTTCCAAGTTTGTTATAGAGGGTCATGGCAGAATGTGTAATAATATGAGCCATAAAAATGTCATCACTTGTAATATTACAGTTCCTGTCTTCAGTGTGTAAATTGTCTCTCTTGTTGAGCTGTGTAACATATAAAAGCTGTACTTTCTTTTGTGTACTTCACAGTTTTAAGTCTGTTCTATTCAATAAATTTTCAGTCATTGGGTTCCTAGGAGTTTCCCATTTGTATGTGGATGTAGTAGTACTTGTATAGTACATTTGTTAATATAAATGTGTTTCTATATTTACCAGACAAATCCTGCAGAAAAAGTTGCAGCTACACAGCTACTTTCTTATGGACCAGCAACATCATCAGAAGCGATTACTAAAGAAATCCATCAGACTACCACTTCAAAATATACTAGAGAGCTTAGGGATCAGCTTTTCCAAAACGAAAAAAGTAAGGCTTTTTATAAGATGGGAACTGGAAGAATTAAGATGTGAGTAACAGAAGTAGCTTGCAATAACAGTGAGTTACAATTGTCAGGAAGTACAGGCTTTGTTTCGAAGATATTCCTTAAAAATTGTGCTTCCAAAGTTAATTTTGAATTTCAGTCTTGTTAACACTGATCTGTTGTTCATTTTCTAGAGAAGGCCCACTGACAATAACAGTCTAATTTTGTGACAGCTTATCTTCACCACTTGCTTTCACTTCTTTAGAAATGCTACCCACATTCATTAGGTAGGGATCAGTCCATTTTGGCATAAAAGAATGAGAAACAATATATTGAAAAGTAAAAGTATGGCAATATGCAAAGGTGCTATGTACAAAATTAATTGTATTCATATCTGTTGAATCCAGAATTTGTTACCAAAAGTTGGGCAGAGAATAAGATATTTAATTTTTTCCTTATTTTTATTTTCTAAAAGTAGGGGTGCACAGCTATATATGGAGCCAAAAAATCATGTGGGAAACTGTAGTAATATTGGAACTCTTAATAAAATTCAAGGACTTCTCAGTCACTTCATTTGAAGATGAAATAAGTTTTGAATAAAGGATTGTTTCAGGTGGCTCAGTGAGATAACAGTTTTATCCCTTAAACATTTACTCTGAACAGTTAGTTGTATTCAGAGAAATAGTTATTGTAGTGCATTTGGTATAGTGACTGCTTATGGGCTGGATGACCAAGGGGTCAGAGTTTGGGTCCAAGTAGGGTAAGAATTTTCTCTTCTCCATATCATTCAGACTCCCTCTGGGGTCCACCCAGCCTCCTATCCAATGGGTACTGGGGGCTCTTTCTCCTGGGGTAAAGCAGCAGAGATGTGAAGCTGACCACTCTTACCTCCAGGCAGTGCTGAGGTCAAGAAAACGTGGATCTATGCATCCATTCCCCCTACATCTTCATGGCATAGTGCTTAATTAGTTAAGCACAGGGACAGCTTTACCTTACATGTGAAATATGAACACTTGGTGAGCAGACTCTCAAAACAAACTCCGTGCTTTTAGTAATGTAAGTGAACTATAACGACCGAATGACCGCCGCTTGTTGGCGAAGTTAGTGCCAACTTTAGTGGATAGAAGGTGTTGCGGCTAGCACGTAGGGTTGACAACCTTACTGCCATCTATGGGCTGGTTGTCTAGAAAATGTGGGAACCTCAACATATCACAATCATATGGGCCTCCAAGGCCTGTTACAGGGGTACTTTTACTTTATTAGCAGATTCTCAGATGTCATTAATGTCAAAGATGTAATTTAGATGAAAGAAAATAGGCTAACTGGATAACAATAAGTGAAATGTTTGAAGTAAAACCCATGCTAAGTCAACATTCTAATACTGTCAACAAGATATTTAAAAACTTGTATACTTATGTGTCTCTTGTTCTGAAAGTGTAATTCTTGAATAATGTGGAATTACTGTATAAGTGAATTTTCAGTTTTAGGGACAGAAGATCGTTTGAGACAAAGGAAGCAAAAGTCTACTGGGGAAGATCTGGATGCATTGCTCAAGTACCACCATTCAATGCAAGAAAAGATTGCAGATGACATGTTGTTGCTGGCTCGAAACCTCAAGGAGCAGTCACAGTTAGCAAGCAGTATTATTAGAAAAGACACAGAGGTATGTTACTAGGAAATGAAGTCTATAGATTTCCACATTAATTCTTCATCTCAAAGTATGAAATTTGTTCTTATAGTCACAATTAAGAATAAAATATGAATTTACCAGTTGCAGTAGGTTTTGTTAATACAATTTATTAATGATTAAGAAAGTTGAGCAATAGAATACCTTGTGTCCAAATTTAAGTTGAATATTGTCATATGAATAACCCACTGATGGCTTGTAGGCCATATATGACCCATGATGCATTTTATAATTAAAGAAAAAGATGTAAGGGAATACTGTGTTATATAACACAGGCCAAAACAACATTAATTATGCTTGCAATAATCATACAACTTAATGTGTTGTGGTGACTATACAATCAAAGATTTTTGGATCATAATCTTCCAGTAACATCAAGAAACAGCTTCTGGTGTAACAAAACAGTAATAATGGCAACATATCTTCGTGCTGCTGACATGTCATATATGTCATATATGTTTAATAGACAGTATTTATATTATGTTGTGCACAGCAGTTAAAGGTTTGTTAACATAAGAAATGAAGAACACTTAAAAGATGGTATAGGCTTCTTCCATATATGTAAGACAGCTTTCAGAATTTCCATGCAGATATATTTTCTTTATAATCTGTACTTTGTTTAGACAGTAGAGAAGTCATCACACATCGCAGACCACAATTTCTCAAGCCTGAAGGTAGAATCAGAGAGACTGGAGGAACACAGTCAACGTGCTTGCAAGTGTTGGATATGGGTTATGATTCTTGTTGTCATAATTATTTTTATCTGTAAGTTGTTAACTGTAATAAGTACAAAATATTTGTAATGCAGTTATAGTTATTTATTCTTTCTGTGGATTGTGTGATATTCAGGTATATTAGAAGTGGGGTACTATTCATACTAATTTAGTGTTCTGTCATGAGTCTGGGGTTTCAGTGGGTTGGTTGAGTGGATTGTGGGTTTTGGAGCCATTGATTGTGGAATAAGTGATGCTAAGAAATTGAGCTTGAAGTAATGGTGTGGTGTTAGTGTAAAACCCCATTTGTTAAAGATTTTTTCTCCACAGCATAACAGTACTACTGCCCAAGGTGGGATGGCACCAACTTCTGTTCAGAACAGAGTGGTGTTGGACATGGATTAGACAGTGCTCCAAAACAGGGAGTGATCTATATGGCATTTTGTTGAGGACAGCATGTGTTGTAGAATATTCTATTCATTTGTTGAAGTAGGGCCGTACTTGTAGACCATGCCTCATACTTTGCCTTCATTTGTCGGTCTTTTGCTGGTCTAACTAGGTGGTAGACTTAGAAATATGAGTACATACATCAACATGTTGCTGCTGCATTTTAAGTGTAATATAGCTTGTTTAGAGTCTGTTTAGAATAACATCAGATAACATCAAGTTACAACATGGATGTTACAGTTACAGGATAATGATTACTAGCATTATAACATTAAATATCTACAAGCAGCAATAATAGACATAATACCAGTACAGATCAGAAATGTCAGTGTCCTTATTCAGACATTGACAACATACATATATGAAATGTCCATGTGCAGTGGTAGAATCATACTATTCGTGCTGAATATGGAGTTTTTTTTTACTTTTATTGATTGGTTGATGGCTCTGTGCTTCACAGTGACCAGTGCACTGCTGGCTGTGAGGCGCATATGAATTTTACCAATGAATAAGCATGTCTGATGGCCGATAATGTTTAGAATGAAGGGAAGTAATTAACTTGTGGACAGCTTGATGGCATTATGTTTCATGGCAAGCAGTGTGGTTCATGTGTGGGAGTTTGTTTATGATTTGTCAGCAGCAGGCAACAGCTACCAGCTCTGTTAGCCATTTGTTCTCACTGACAGTAAGCAGTGTAGTATGTCATGGAGCGATATACTTTAGAGCAACATATATTTCTGTATGACATCTATGTAAAATATGGATCTGCTAGAAGATGTTGGTGAAAATTTTGACGTAAATTTCATGATGTAAGAGGAGACAAACAATTCACAATTCAGTGACTAAATGTAGAACAACAGGACTCTTAATAGACAAGAGCATTTGCTTACTGAGGAGAAATTATATGACATAAGGGGCAGACATGAATATACACCTAGAAAATCAGCGAAATGTCTAGCTCAAGAGACTGGAGTGTCAAAGTCTAGTGCAAGAACGGCAATAGATATTGCTGAAACTTAAACCCTATAAAACAACAAGAATACACACAATGCAGCCACGTTATCTAACTAGCAGGGTTCACTTTTGCAGTTGGTTTCTACAGTCTGTCATCAAAGGTGAGATCAATCCACTATTTACACTTTCTTCTGATGAAGCATGGTTTCAGTTGCAGGGATGCATAAGTACACAAAATAATTCCTACAGATACCATATCTAATCCATGAAGGCCTGCTCCATCCAGTAGAAGTTGGTGTCTGGTGTGCTGTAAGTGCAAGGAGGATTGTTTTGCCTGTGTTTTTAATGAAACAATTAATTGTGAAAGGTTCATAGAAAGACAGCATTTTCAACACCTCGTGTTATCTGTGGATTGTAACTATTTCATTCTAAATTATATCGACTCTCATGCATGCAGGTTCTTTGGGAAAATCTGAGTGCGCCTCACAGCAAGCGTGCCCCATTCATTGTGAAGCGCAGAGCCATAGAACCAGTCAATAAAGTAAAAATCCTCCCTGTAGAAACAAAGAGAACATGACGTTCTAGTGTTGTACTGGAAGACTAGAGAAATTTCTGTCAATTATACCATTATATCTGAAGGTGTCAGAGGGTTATATTTATAGGGTAGGGACTTTAATGTGGAAGGACACAGGTACATGAATATATATATATATTTTTTTTTTCTTTCTGATATGCTGATTTTCATGAAGTTTATGAAGAAAAAGTCTTAGTGATGTAAACTGGACAGCATTTATTGAAATTACTTTTAAGACCTATTTCTGTGGTGTGATACTATTATTTTTAAAATTACAATCTTTCAACACTCATATAAAATGTTCTGTCACATGAAAATGGCACAGTAAAGGCAGAAAGTAATGCATTTCCATTTCCATGATTTATGTGAGATTTCGCTGATTGTAGTTACTTATATAGCAATCCATTGCCATCCACAGGGTTAATGTTTCTGAAAAACATTGGCAAGACAGAGGTCTTATCACAAATAAAATTTTCAGAACTGTGGNAAAAAAAAAAAAAAAAAAAAAAAAGACAGTACCATACATAATACCACTTTTAAAAATAAATTACACAAAATATGAAGAAGTATCACAACAAAGTGCACCTCAATGGTAATGTGGAAAGTTGGTTGTGGATTCCATTCTAGTATGTTCTCCAGAAAATGATTTCTTGGTGTGATAGCCATTAGTGTTTCACTATGCACACAAAAATTCTGGATATGTAAACTCATATACCAATGGATGGAAGTGGAAAACTGCAGATGCTTGAAATCTCCATGGTTTTTAATGGGCTGATGTATTAAAATTGCTTACCTAAGTAATTTATGTCCCAGAAGATAGCTGAAACTTAACAATTAAAATTTAAGCATTTTCTGTTGTGTTTTCATATTCTGATGGTTAAATTTTTCCACGACCGTTTTTAAGTTTGCATCCGATAAAGAATTAAGAACAGTAAATAAAATTTTCTTATCATAACCTTGCTCCCTTTTTTGAGACTTACCAAAACCTATATCATTTGAGTATTGGAAATCTAGTTTTGTTAGGAATTGGGATTTTAAACTGCTCTGATATTATGGGAGTCTATGATAAGTATGAAGTTTTTACCAAAATAAACCCTGTGCATGTATTGGTAGTTATAGAAGTCGATGTTTGACAGAAATTGAATCCTGAACAATTGAGAGTATCTGCCAGAACTGCAAATAAAAAAGTTATGGAAATGGATTTTTGCCAGTATCATTCTTCTTAGGATGTTTTCACATTTATAATATTAAATTTCTGTGGCGCCTTTCCAGTTAATATACAAGTTAATAGACAAGACCCAACCTAGAGAAGGCTCATTCCTTAGGAAAATATATCATCAGTGGGTGAGTGGGAAAGTCATGATATGCCATTGGAAATCAAGTGCAGTTTGATGGGGCCATAATGTTACACATATGCATGCATAGTTTTATTCTGTACCTTTTACTTCCAAAGTCAGGGGCGGGGAAACCTGTGTAACAAGAATGGTAAGATATTGCATGGTGCCTTTGTAAACAAGCCAGGCAGTATAATTCACAATAAAACAAGCTGCCAAACTGATGAAGAAATTCAGAGGATGTCACATGATGCATTTCTCAGTGGCTGAAACTTGGTGGGAGTAAGCTGTTATCAGATTATTTGAATGTGAACTTTTTCATGAATGAATGTATGAGGGGTAGACCTTCTTGGCCCCTGCACCGCGACCTACAATGGTCTATTGTGCTTTGAACTTTTTCATAGTCAAGGATAGGACAGAGAGGGTGGTTAATAGGACCCTTGTGGACTGCTAGCCATAAATAACTTATGAAGCAAAAATGCAAATAAAGTTTGTGCAAAAAGTTATGGGAATGCAGTCATTGAGATTAGCTCTTTCTAACAGACGAAACAGAGTAGGTGTCTCCCATCATACATACATATACATTTGCGTTTCTTGAAAATATTCCTAAATGTGCCACCGGCACCGAATATAAAACATGTCAACAAGCAAAGAAAACATTGGACACTTATACATTCACAAATAAAATTACTAGTATATATAATCCATACTTGTCAAAAACACATACAATAGATAAAAGGCAATACAAATTGCAGCAAGTATATATAAGCACAGCCAAGGACATAGTGTTTAGTGAAGTGTGCACTGTCAGACACCTCTTTTCCTTAGCTCTAGGTCTTGACAGAAAAGCAAGAATTCCTCAACAGTATAAGAAGGTTTTTGAAGCAATACATCCCTTAGTTTCCCAATACACTGTTTTTTATTATGTACTAACTCAATTAAAAAATCAGGCCAACTACTAAAAACTTTTACACTCATGCAATAGACCCCTTTTTGCCTCTTTGTTAGATGTGATTGAGGAACATGTAGGTTTCTAACTTGTCTTGTTGATTTACCATGAATTGTATGATTAAAAGTACACTCAAGTCTCGATTATCCGGGATAATGGTGGGTTTGGAAATCACAATTAATCGAAAACCCGGTTAAGACAAATTTGATTAAAAGTAGTATCGTAATACTCTACCTTCATAATACTATAGGCCTACCTGTATTTAAATTTATTCAATCTCATTTTTATGTCATCTCATGGCCTATTTAATACTTTTCTTACATTACACTGAAGTATGAATTAGTTATTTCAATCACAGTGTTCAACAACATCCAACACTTTTTATGAATATTCACACTTAACACTTAAAAAAATTTAATATTGTCGTTTGCTTTTTTGCGGCATTTTCCTTTTTACAGATATCCTTACGAAGCCTACGTAATATTAGCATGTCACTTAATAAACTGTTCTCTTCACTGTCTAGATAGTCTAGTAAGGATTCCAAATGATTAAGAGCAGTACCATGAGATATTTTCTTACTAGTAGCACTATCCACCTCTTCCTCATTCTCACTTTCTTCCCGCTCTTCTGGCTGCACCCCCACTGAACTTATGATTTTGTCAGTGCTCAACATCTCAAAGCCCGGCTCACACGAGTCAAAGTCAAACCACTCTCTTATATTTTCCTTGTTGACTTCTTCACCACCATGAACTTGGTTAGACAATTTTGTCAATTCTATGGCTATCTCACCATCTCCCAGTTGGAGTTCGAATTCGTACTCTCAACATTCTGAACCCCAAACTGCAAGGACTCTGTTGGAGGGATTCTCGTATGATGACAACGAATACAATAATTTACAATAACATTATATACATACGTACATACCTACTCAATGTGTAAATTTTATTTTGTATTTCTACATACATGTACATTTTTATTTAGTGAGTATGGTAATAAACTATGGCTCCTATTTTATGAATATTTTTTCAGTCACACCTATGGTCTTATCAAATAATTAAAGTATGCTAACCTGAATAAAATTTTGCAGTGCTTTCCGTATTGCCACGCATGTTTCTATTATTATCTCTCTGAGTGCCTAAGGAGATACTCTCATTGAAAATGTCAAATCTTGAAAACTTCTCCCAGTTGCCAGGAACCGAAGAGTCGCAATCAGTCTCACATGCGGTGATATTATTTGAAATGCATTTTCGTCCATCCTTTGGTAATTTTTATAATCGTTAATTTCCCCTCCTTCTTGTAACTCATTCAGTAAATGGTAATCACTGGGCAAACGCTTCTTTGCAGATACCAATCTTTGCACCAACGTTCACGGCGTTTTTTCCTTTTGCCTTCTTCTTCTTCTTCTTCTTCTTCTTCTTCTAGCAACTGCAGCAATTATGCAACAAATTGCAGCTCTTTTTTTTCTGTCACCCATTGAACTTTATTTATTTTAGAACACAACCAAACCTGTCAAAAGTGAAGAGAGAACTGAAGAAAAATTGGACTGAACTGAGGCAAAAACTGAAGGTATCCTACACACCTTCAGTTCAGATAAATGTACAGATTTTCACACAGATATTTACGACAGATAACTGCACAGTATTTTGAGTACAGAAGATGACTATGAAACTGCACAATTTAACACTGTCCTCATTTAAAATAAAACAAAGCATTTATTAGACATGTCATGTACATTATTTATCTTGAAGATTTTACAAATGTATTAAAAATCTTATAATACATACCTATCCTTTTTTGTGGTGGCCAAATTTCAATATTTTAACAAAAATATTTGCTACACATGAAACACATGTTTACATAATCTGAATAGGAATAACAGTATGACAGAAATTTTAAATGTGACTAAATGGATAGATGCATCAGTATTCAGATGGCACGAATCAGGTTCTCCTTCATTTACTTTTGGTGACAGCACAGTACATCTGGCATGGAATAACCGATTCTTCCTAAAATCACGAATCAGGTTCTCCTTCATTTGCTTTTGGTGACAGCACAGTACATCTGGCATGGAATGACCGATTCTNCTGCACCCCCAAAATCTGGATTTTCATAAAAGGAAGTATAATATAAAAATATAATATGTTTAACACTGAGCGATGGTAAAAATACTGATTCGCGTGTTCTGAAAAACCAGCCTATCCACACCAGGTAGCAGCATCTGAATGGAACAGAAAACTGTCCTGAAATATGATGGTGAGCGGCCCACAGCACAGACTCAAAACTTCAATATGCACTTTGACAAAAGTGTGAATATTATAAATTACTCTTACCGAGCGTAGTTCTCCGTAAAGAAATTCAACCCATGGTGGCAGTACCAATGTACGGTTCAACCCCTTTGAAAACCAAGGGCACCCAGGAAGTGACTGGCTTGATTGCAAACAAGAATACCATTTACAACATAACCTTTAAATATGCAAATTATAAAATTAGTATGAATAAGTATCTTACCCATGCAGGGCCAATATAATACAAATCCACCAGAATCGACTTTTCAGCTCTTACTAAAATATTTATCATGGATATATTTAGCACCATATAAAACCAAAGACGCCATATAAATTTGAAACTGCCTCCAAACTGTTTGTAATATACCTCCATCTTTCTGATGAAATGGGATCTGCTACCAACATAGATATTACAAGAACTGAAATAAAAAGGTTTCATAACCCGAATCCAAAAATATTTTTAACACTTCAATATATGAACAATGAATGCAGTGGCTTAGCATGTTTTGTACGGTTGGAAACAAGTATTAATTTGAAAAATATTGATAATCTATTGTAAAGATGCACCTATAGTCTTCCCCACGTCAAACTGGAAGTAATAGCTTCAGAACCGTTCAGAACCACCGAATGCATTTTCATTACATTTATTACTGGAGTTTTATAAAATGTATTGATATATTCCAACACTGGATGAATGTTTCCAGCCTTTATACTTTATTACAGAGTATCTTCCAAGGGCTTCTTCCCTTTTTGCCTTCCTACCATATATATTGTTAGGAATTTCTGCTTGCTTTATAGACTGGCAGAAGGCATCTGACCGTGTAAATTGGACCAAATTAATGCAGATCCTAAAGGAAACAGGTATCGACTGGCGTGAAAGAAGATTGATTAGTAAATTGTACATGGATCAGA